CTGGAAGTAAATGCAGGTTTTATAAACACTTCTAAAACAGCAATTCAAACAGTGTGCATTTACTGAGAGAGAGTATGATCTCAGCAGACTACTATTGCAAATGATAATAATAAAAATAATAATCATTTCCATTTATTGAGCATTCTATACCAGGCATTATATTAGCTGTTTTGTGTGTATTATGTCATTCAGTGTTCAAAACAAACCTATGATATAATCCACAGTTTATAGAAAAGAAAACTAAAGCTCAGAAAAGATTTCCCAGAACTGATGCTTCCCAAAGACTATCCAATAAGCTATAGAAAGTTGATAACTGGGAAGTAAGTCACGGAAAGCTGAGCAATGGATGTTCAGCTGTAAGGTAAGATCCGGGTTACTGCCACAGTGATTAACCAGTCTTCACTGCTGATTATAGAAATACTCAGCCAAAAGGCAACATCTATCCCCAAGGAAAAGAAATGCAAAAAAAGCAAAATGGCTGTCTGAGGAGGCCTTACAAATAGCTGTGAAAAGAAGAGAAATGAAAAGCAAAGGAGAAAAAGAAAGATATTCCCATCTGAATGCAGAGTTCCAAAGAATAGCCAGGAGAGATAAGAAAGTCTTCCTCAGCAATTAATGCAAAGAAATAGAAGAAAACAATAGAATAGGAAAGACTAGAGATATCTTCAAGAAAATTAGAGATACCAAGGGAACATTTCATGCAAAGATGGGCTCAATAAAGGACAGAAATGGTACGGACCTAACAGAAGCAGAAGATATTAAGAAGAGGTGGCAAGAATACACAGAACTGTACAAAAAAGATCTTCACGACCCAGATAATCATGATGGTGTGATCACTCACCTAAAGCCAGACATCCTGGAATGTGAAGTCAACTGGGGCCTTAGGAAGTATCACTACAAACAAAGCTAGTAGAGGTGGTGGAATTCCAGTTGAGCTATTTCAAATCCTAAAAGATGATGCTGTGAAAGTGCTGCACTCAATATGTCATCAAATTTGGAGAACTCAGCAGTGGCCACAGGACTGGAAAAGGTCAGTTTTCATTCCAATCCCAAAGAAAGGCAATGCCAAAGAATGCTCAAACTACCACACAATTGCACTCATCTCACACACTAGCAAAGTAATGCTGAAAATTCTCCAAGCCAGGCTTCGACAATACATGAACCATGAACTTCCAGATGTTCAAGCTGGTTTTAGAAAAGGCAGAGGAACCAGAGATCAAATTGCCAACATCCAATGGATCATTGAAAAAGCAAGAGAGTTCCAAAAAAACATCTATTTCTGCTTTACTGACTATGCCAAAGCCCTTGACTGTGTGGATCACAATAAACTGTGGAAAATTCTGAAAAAGATGGGAATACCAGACCACCTGACCTACCTCTTGAGAAATCTGTATGCAGGTCAGGAAACAACAGTTAGAACTGGACATGGAACAACAGACTGGTTCCAAATAGGAAAAGGAGTACATCAAAGCTATATATTGTCACCCTGCTTATTTAACTTACATGCAGAGTACATCATGAGAAATGCTGGGCTGGATGAAGCACGAGCTGGAATCAAGATTACTGGGAGAAATATCAATAACCTCAGATATGCAGATGACACCACCGTTATGGCAGAAAGTGAAGAAGAATTAAAGAGCCTTTTGATGAAAGTGAAAGAGGAGAGTGAAGAAGTTGGCTTAAAGCTCAACATTCAGAAAAGAAAGATCATGGCATCTGGTCCCATCACTTCATGGGAAATAGATGGGGAAAAGTGGAAACAGTGGCTGACTTTATTTTAGGGGGCTCCAAAACCACTGCAGATGGTGATTGCAGCCGTGAAATTAAAAGACACTTACTCCTTGGAAGGAAAGTTATGACCAACCTAGACAGCATATTAAAAAGCAGAGACATCATTTTGTCAACAAAGGTCCATCTAGTCAAGGCTATGGTTTTTCCAGTGGTCATGTATGGATGTGAGAGTTGGACAATAAAGAAAGCTGAGCACTGAAGAATTGATGCTTTTGAACTGTGGTGTTGGAGAAGACTCTTTAGAGTCCCTTGGACTGCAAGGAGATCCAACCAGTCCATCCTAAAGAAAATCAGTCCTGGGTGTTCATTGGAAGGACTGATGTTGAAGCTAAAACTCCAATATTTTGGCCTCCTGATGTGAAGAGCTGACTCATTGGAAAAGACCCTGAACCTGGGAAAGGTTGAAGGCAGGAGGAGAAGGGGACAACAGAGGATGTGATGGTTAGATGGCATCACCAACTCGATGGACATGAGTCTGAGTAAACTCCGGGAGTTGGTGATGGACAGGGAGGCCTGGCGTGCTGTGGTTCATGGGTTCGCAAAGAGTCAGACACGACTGAGCGACTGAACGGAACTGAACTGAACTTTTAGTATACATAAGAAGAGTGAGAATATGCTTTACTTGTGTGCATGCTCAGTTGCTCAGTCATATCTGATTCTTTGTGACCCTCTAGACTGTAGCTTATCAGGCTGCTCTTTCCATGGGATTCTCCAGGCAGGAATACTGGAGTGGATTGCCATTTCCTCCTGCATGGGATCTTCCCTACCCAGGGATTGAACTTGTGTCTCCTGCATTTCCTGCATTGGCAGGCAGATTCTTTACCACTGAGCCACCTGGGAAGCCCTGTTCTTTACTTACTCTTGTTAAAAGCTAAATGAAAGCTAAATAATGTCAAAAACAACATCAGATAACTGGCAATGCAATTGGAAGCCATTGGTATGAAAAAAATTCTATTTTGGAAATGTATTGATTTAGATTTACTTGCAAACCAGAATGTTCGAAAACAGAAATAGATGTAATATATATTGTGCTCTAATCTCTTCTGCACCCTTTTTCTTCCTACAGACAAAGCAGACTCTTCATCCTGCTCTGAAAACCAACAGTAAGGCATAACTCATTTATTTAAATGTGAACATTTTGTCAATCATTTTTATTTTGCTGGTGGTAAAACTATATGTTTAATAAGTGAATCCATGATTTTCAATCTTAACGGATAAATTTTTATTGAGAGAATGGGTCAATTCTACTCTATGTCAAGTTGAAACAAATGAATTTTTTGCATCTGATTCTAAAATACATAATACAAGTTTCCATTTTTTTGGAAACTTTTTTCCAAAAGTTTCCAACTTTTGGATATACAAGTTTCTATTTTTTACTTTGAAACAATTATACTAAAACTGTATTTCATAGAAAAATGTAAAATATGACAATTTTTATATTTTATATACCCTTCCATGTTAGTGATTTTTATTACAAACATATATGTTTATATATTAACATAGGGATTGTTAAAATAGAGTATCTCCATTAGGCTGCAAAATGATTGATTTTTCCCAGTTGAAACTATATTTTCCTTTCAATGTTCATTGATTTGGACATCATAATTGGATGAAGGTTAATTTCTAACATTACTTTAGAAATTTTCATTGGCATAAGTCAATTAACTCTTCTAAGCCTCAGTCCTTTCATCGGTAAAATACTGCCATACCCACCAAGATATGGGAGTGAAATTAGACATTGCATTTTACCACAAACTATCCATAAATGTTCATTCCCCTCCCTTTGAAGATCATACTATTGAGAAGGAAGGCAATACATGGAATAAATACCAATTGTCTACTCTTTACAAATTAATAAACCTAAGAAGTACTGACTTCCCTGGTAGGTCAGGTGGTAAAGAGTCCACCTGCAATGCAGGAGACCCCTGTTCAAATCCTGGGTCGGGAAGATCCCCTGGAGAAGGGACAGGCTATCCACTCCAGTGTCCAGGCCTGGAGAACTCCATGGACCGTATAGCCCATGGGTCACAAAGAGTCGGACATGGCTGAACGACTTTCACAAGAAGTACTGCAGATAAATAATTTAGAATTTTCTTTCCCTCCAAGAATTTGGGAGTACCAATTTCATAGGAAGAGAGCTAATCAAGGTATCATTCCTTACTTAACAAAGTGAGCAGTTTATATGACTAATACTAGAGAGGGAATACAAGTTCTTCCTAAACTTAGCTCTTGTTGCTTCATCTAAAGGCCCAAGGATTTTTTTAAGGATTTTTTTTTTTTTTTGGACACATTGAGGAAGGACAACCTGGGCAACCCAATGCTGAGTGTGGTTTTAAAAGTTAACAAAGATATTAAACCACCTTTCTACCTAATCATGGATTCAGCAGATTTGAACAGCCTGGACTTTCAGTACATTTGCTCTATTTGCATTTTTTCTATACTGGGAAATGTGAAAATATAGACAAGTTTAAGGAAAAAAAATAAACATCACTTCTAATGCTTCCATTGGAGAAATAACTGCTAATAAAGTATTTGTACATTTATTTCTGTGTAGTCACAACCCTGAAATCTTGATTAGAGTTGTTTGTAAATAAAAGGACAGACATCTAGTTTTCATAGAGAAGAGGAAGCTAAGAGGTTGTATACAATGAAAATAAGCTTTCCCCAAAATTGAGCTGAATGATCAATTGTTGCTCAGCTGTGTCTGACTCCTTGCAACCGCATGGACTGTAGCACACCAGGCTTTTCTGTCCTTCACCATCTCCTAGAGCTTGCTCATGTCCATTGAGTCAGTTAGGCCATCCAACCATCTCATCCTCTGTCATTCCCGTCTCCTCCTGCCTTCAATAATCAATGCAGGATCATAATTATCTGTGAAGGAATCTTTTTTTTTTCCATATTTTCTTTCTGATGAGTTCAGGAGCAATAGAACTGGGCAGAAAAAAGATAGTACTTCCCTTACCTTTATAGGTATAATTCAAAGGCAACTGTCAAGTTCTTCAACTTATCATTTCTATCAGAGACAGGGGTGGGTCCACTGATTCCTCTTGCACCGTAAGGTAATTCTCTCTTGCTACTTTACTTATGACTTTGGGAATCACAGGTCAGTTGAAATAACCAATATCATTACATTCGATCTTCCATCTTAGAGGTCCGTGTACTACATGTTTTGATGCAGATCTGTATTCTCTCTGACTTACTTCCTAGCAATGGCTTTACTCCCCGTGGTGCTGTTTCTGACCACTGTGCTGCTTCCATCTTTCCCCACTGAAGGAAAGGTAAGATTAAAATCAAAAATATTTCCCGACCTCTTTGGGATGGCAAAAAGTGGAAAGTGGAGAGTGGAAAAAGTGAGTGTCTGGTACATCAGGGTACCCACTCATAGCTCAAAGAACTGAATTATCTAGATGAAAGTTTAAGGATGCTGTCAGTCACACAAGGCTATTGTGAAAACTTGAAATGTGACTTTTCCATAACAAGATAAGACAAACCAAATTTCAAAGATTTAGTATTTTTGAAAAAAGAAAAATAGTTCAGTATTTTTATATTGAGTATATGATGAAATGATCTGGAAAATTAATGTAGTAGGTCTTTAGGGTTGTTGTAAAGAAATTAACACAATTTTGGTGGCTTTGCACATAGAAATTTATTCATTCACAGTTCTGAAAGCCAGAAGTGTGAAATCCGGGTATCAGCAGGGCCATGCTCCCTCTGGAGGATCAAAGAGGAAGTCTGTTCGGTGTCTCCTAGCTTCTGGTGGTTTCTACCAGTCCTTGGTGTCCTTGACTTGTGGCTGCATGACTGCAATCTCTGCCTCCATCTTCACATCACCTTCTCCTCTATGTCTCTTTTAAAGACACGTGTCATTGGATTCATTTTTCATTTAGTATTGGTCCCTGTCCTTAGGAACATAATAAGCAGACAGGAGAAATAGACGCATGATGAGATGATGGTGATAAAATGTAGTCAGACCCATCTTCACAGTATTTGCAGAGCTTTGAGTGCCTAAGAATGTTCAAACTGCTACACAGTTGCACTCATCTCAGTTCAGTTCAGTCACTCAGTCATGTCCAACTCTTTGCGACCCCATGAACCACAGCACGCCAGGCCTCCCTGTCCAACACCAACTCCTAGAGGCCACCAAAGCCCATGTCCATCGAGTCAGTGATGCCATCCAACCATCTCATCCTCTGTTGTCCCCTTCTCCTCCTGCCCTCAATCTTTCCCAGCATCAGGGTCTTTTCCAATGAGTCAGTTCTTTCCATCAGGTGGCCAAAGTATTGGAGCTTTAGCTTCAACATCAGTCCTTCCAATGAACACCCAGGACTGATTTCCTTTAGGATGGACTGGTTAGATCTCCTTGCAGTCCAAGGGACTCTCAAGAGTCTTCTCCAACACCACAGTTCAAAAGCATCAATTCTTTGGTACTCAGCTTTCTTTATAGTCCAACTCTCACATCCATACATGACTACTGGGAAAACCATAGCCTTGACTAGATGGACCTTTGTTGGCAAAGTAATGTTTCTGCTTTTTAATATGCTGTCTAAGTTGGTCATAACTTTAATCTCACACACTAGCAAAGTAATGCTCAAAATTCTCCAAGTCAAGCTTCAGTAGTACATGAACCAAGAACTTCCAGATGTTCAAGCTGGATTTAGAAAAGGCAGAGGAACCAGAGGTCAAATTGCCAACATCCGTTGGATCATTGAAAAAAGCAAATGAGTTTCAGAAAAACATCTACTTCTGCTTTGTTGACTACATCAAAGCCTTAGACTGTGTGGATCACAACAAACTGTGGACAATTCTTCAGGAGATGGGAATACCAGACCACCTTACCTGCCTCCTGAGAAATCTGTATACATGTCAAGAAACAACAGAATCAGACGTGGAACAACAGACTGGCTCCAAATTGGGGAAGGAGTATGTCAAGGTTGTATATTGTCACCATGCTAATTTAGCTCATATGCAGAGTACATCATGCGAAATGCTGGGCTGGAGGAAGCACAAGCTGGAATCAAGATTGCCAGGAGAAATATTAATAACCTCAGATATGCAGATGACACCACCCTTATGGCAGAAAGTGAAGAAGTACTAAAGAGCCTCTTGATAAAAGTGAAAGAGAAGAGTGAAAAGTTGGCTTAAAGCTCAACATTCAGAAAACTAAGATTATGGCATCTGGTCCCATCACTTCATGGCAAATAGGTGGGAAGCAATGGAAAGAGTGATAGACTTTTTCTTTTGGGGGTCAGGTGGGGAGTGGTTCCAAAATCACTGCAGTTAGTGACTGCAGCCATGAAATTAAAAGACGCTTGCTCCTTGCAAGAAAAGCTATAACAAACCTAGACAGCAAACTAAAAAGCAGAGACATTACTTTGCCAACAAAGGTCCACCTAGTCAAAGTTATGGTTTTTCCAGTAGTCATGTATGGATGTGAGAATTGGACTATAAAGAAAACTGAGCACCAAAGAATTGATGCTTTTAAACTGTGGTGTTGGAGAAGACTCCTGAGAGTCCTTGGACTGCAAGGAGATCAAACCAGTCAATCCTAAAGGTTATCAGTCCTGAATATCCATTGGAAGGACTGATGCTGAAGCTGAAGCTCCAATACTTTGGCCACCTGATGCAAAGAGCTGACTCATTGGAAAAGACCCTAAACCTGGGAAAGATTGAAGGCAGAAGAAGGGGACAACAGAGGATGAGATGGTTTAATGGCGTCAACGACTCAATGAACATGAGTTTGAGTAAACTCTGGGAGTTGGTGATGGACAGGGAGGCCTGGTGTGCTGCAGTCCATAGGGTCTCAAAGAGTTGGACATTACTGACTGAACTGAACTGAACTGATGGGACTCAATACTAGAGGAGCAGAGAATAACTTATCCCAAGGTGTCAAGGGAAAATCAACAAAGGACCCCATCTGTTCAGATTTACACTTCAAAATTTTATTCATGCTCATGTAATATCAGCCTTTTTTGTAAATTTAGGCTATCCAATTGCTAGACCTTGTGGGAACAATTCACATACCCTACTCCACATCCAGGTTTAGGACTCAACCCTCCCCCAGCACACACACACAATGATACACCAAGAATATCTGCACCTGGTTTAATACATCATCAATTATATTTCTGTTACTAAAAGGAACAAAGCCAGGAATGGTACACTGACTGGATGGCTTTGCTTCCTCCAAACAGCCTTGGAGATTTTTTTAAGAGGGTCTTTTGAGTGACTCCATAAAATCTACAGAGCAGAATCATTTTACTAAAATATAGAATGCACTTTGACTGAACCTAAACATCCTTAACCTAAAGACATTCCTTCTCTAAGAACCGATACCATGTCAGGACAAACTTACCCTTAAGGTATAGGGTGATTCTTGAGTCCCACTCTTATCCCCCTGTTGCAGCATGTGGATGAATCTGTCTTAATGTTCTTGTTGTATGCCTTTGTAGGCAAATTATAAAATATTATAAAGCATTATTACTCATATATTGAGAAAAATCATATTGAGAGTTCCCCAGAAACTCGAAATTGGTGTTTGTGGCCTCAGAAGAGTTTTTAATTTGTCATGACAAATGTCATGACAAATGTCATCCCCATTCTCAAAGCTTCAAACTATCTCTTTCCTATTTGTTGTGGCTTTGGCTCAGTTCATTGACAATGCTTACAAATTCACAGTGTCCTGAATGGAACATTTTGTAAATTAATCCCTGGTTCCTTAAATTAACTTGTTGCCTCTTAAATGCAATTAAAAATTTTTTATTTCCCTCTTAAATGCAATTAAAAAACAACCTTATTTTTATTTCCCTTTAGGATCCATCCTTTACTGCTCTGATAACCACTCAAGCTGAAGTCCAAAGAGAAATTGTAAATAAACACAATGAACTAAGGAAATCAGTCTCTCCACCTGCCAGCAACATGCTAAAGATGGTAAGAAGCAGGAATATAAGAAAGTAGTGTGAACCAGAGTTGGTAAGAATAGGCAGCTGGTAACTGGCCTGTCTTAAAAATTTTGTGGTTTACAAATTTTTGTCTCTATTTTTTATTTCATTTAGCTGTGTCATGGGCAGGGCAGAAATGAGTTTCCCTTTATAATGTTTAAATAGCTTGTCAAAGTTATAAGGCAATAAAATTGGGAATGCAGACCCAGAGCCAAATCTTCAGACATCAAATGTGAAGTCATTACATTTCTTTTGTTCACTATCTTCCTCACTCAAAAATAAAGAAATCTATCTTTCATGATTAATGCCTTTTAGGGTGAATATTATAACAGCCCATTTCCCAGGAAATAGTCCATGAAAACTGTCCTCTCCTATATGGACACAGTGGGCTACAAATGAAATTGGCAATAACCTGGGTCTGCTTATTACTGTTGAAATGTAGTTACACTCCCTCACATGTTAATTAGTATTAACAGTAGCATCATTACTAAAAGATCTTAGGTGTGGCTGCTATGCTATCATAGTCAGATAATATTGTATTATCTTAGGTGTTTCTCTCATTAAATATATCACCTGGGGACTTGTCTTTGTGTGGTTAACTGGCACTGGGGCAGATAAAGACACACATATGCAAATAAAAAGATATTTTAATACCAATGACAATTACATAATATTATAACTTAGATGATAATATAACTTTTTGGCCAACCTGGCACATCTACAAAAGTTTCAAAGTAGTGCAAAATCAGCCTACCAGTCAGATATTAAAGCGTGTACTTCATTGGAGTTTAATCTTTGTGTATTTTGTTTTTCTTGGGACATTTAGGAATGGAGCAGAGAAGTGGCAGCAAATGCCCAGAAGTGGGCAAACAAGTGCTCTTTAGAACACAGCAATCCAAATGAACGAAAGACCAGTACGTAAATCAATACATGTTTGCTGAATAAATGAACAAATAAAATACTGGACAAATAATAGGATAGACCACTCTGGGGCATTGTACTAAGAAGACTTTGCAAATAAATATATGGCTGTATTTTTAAAATAAAGTGTCTGTATATAGAGAGATACATACTAGTACTAGATAAGTACCAGTACACAAAAAAGTACTATATTGTGTTTGTTGATTGTTTCCATTATGCAGATTTGTTTCTTAAGCAGCTCATTTATTTCTTTGACCAGCTCATGGTAAAGAGGTCATGCAGAATCATTTTTCCAATTTTCAAGACTAAAAAATAAGGATGTGAAGGAATATATTATGCAAAAACATAACAGGAAAGAGTATCATACATTGGAAAATTAACCAGGCTTCCTAATTTCTCACCCTTTGCCTTTTTTTGTGTAGCTGTTTGGTGTTTTGAAATCCATTTATTTTGCATTCCCAAAATGTATTAAAATAAGTTGAATTGTTCCTAAATTTTACACCAAAACTATATAAGCTTTTAAAATCAGGATCGCTATTTTAGGTGTGTTGATTCATTTTTTAAATTTCTGATGACAAACTATCAAATATTTCATATAGACTATGTGCCTGTAATGTATAGAATAATAGACTCAAAAAAATTATAACACGTATCAAGGATCATAAAAACCATGGAAGAAAAAAACTTGTATGCATAAACATTGCATAAAATATTTTACATTATCAAGCATGATATGTACATAGACAAGCCCAGTTTAAAAGCAGTGAATAAAAAAAATTTTTTAAGGAATAAAAAAATAAATAAAAGCAGTGAATAGCTTACCTATTATTTCAGCAGAATTAGTATTGTTTATATTGTTGGATGCAAGCATTATGATGAAATTAGAAGTGACTGCGTTCAGTAGAATATTGGAACAAATGGCCTTAAAAACCCAAGTCTACTGTTAGATTCTTAGCTTCTGTCTTTCCCTGTTAAAGGAGATATTCACAAACATTTTATACTCTGTTTAAGCAGCACACAGACATTGTTATTTCAAGTCTGTAAATATTAAATGAGGGCTAAAAAAGGTAGGGAAAATTTTCTGGACTACAAGGCACGTATTTCTTTTTCAAATTATTTTTTGTGGTAAGAATAAGTTTTTTCAGTTTTTAAAAAAGATATTATGATAGTAAAGACTCAACATGTGATCTACTCTCTTAAGAAATGCTTAAGTGTATAATCCAATATTGTTAACTACAGATGCCTTGTTGTCCATCAGATATCTAGAACTTAGTCATCTAGCTTCCCTGAAAGTTTATGTCCATTGTTTAGTAACTCCCCATTCTCCCTTCCCCCAAGCCACTTCTAGATTCTGTGAGATACTTCACACTGATGGAATAGGGCACTAGTTGTCTTTCTGTGACTAGGTGGTTTCACTTAGCATAATGTTCTCAGGGCTCATCCATGTTGTTGCATGTTGCAGAAATGTCCTTCTTTTCTAAGGATGAATGATATCCCATTGTATGTATAGACCACATTTCGTTTATCCATTCATCTGTTGGTGGACCCTTAGATTGTTTCCACATCTTGGCTGTCATGAATAGTGCTGCAATGAACATAATAGTGCAAATATCTCAAGATCCTGATTTCAGTTCTTGTGGATAAATACTCAAACTCAGGACTGCTAGATTGTTTGATAGTTCTACTTTTAATTTTTTGAGGAAGCTCCGTACTGTTTCTCACAGCAGCTGTACCATTTTGCATTCTCACCAACAGAATATACAAGGATTCCAATTTCTCCACATCCTCACTATCACGTGCTGTCTTTTGTTTTTTTTTTTTATAACATCTTGACAGTGGGGGTAAGGTTATGTATTTCACTGTGGTTTTGATCTGCATTTTCCTGATGATTACTGACTTTTGAGTCCCTTTGCATATACCTATTGGCCATTTGTACATTATCTTTGGAAAAATGCCTCTTCATGTCCATTGTGGTCAGAAAAGAGTTTCAGTCATTTCCTCAGGAAGCTCCCAGAAAAAAAAAAAATGGATTTATGGACATTCCATCCAATTCTTTCTCTCCCTGGAGAGAGGCTAGCCACTAGGGTATTTTATTTGCTCACTCTGTGCTGAGCGAAGAAGGGAAGTTATGGCAACCGCCAGCCCAAATCTCTGTCTCTGTTCTTACTAGCCCCAGACAGTGAGTTTATGCTAGGTCTTGTTAGCATTCCAAAACAGGCAAGTCGGGAGGCAGTTCTTCAGGCAGCCTCTGGAAAATGTGTGGCATCAGATAACCAAACCAACTCCTTCCCTCCCCAGGGAGAAGCAGGCAGTTGAGGTCTTTTTCTGCTTACCCTGTTCTGAGCTGTAGAAAAGGGTTATGATACCTCTCAATCCAAATTGCCAACTCTGTTCTCCCCCAGGGAGCAAGACAGTGCTCTAGGACTGGCAAGGAAGGTGCCAGTTCTTTGGGTAACCCCAGAGAAATTGGACACTGTACACATTGATCAACTCTACCGCCCAGGGTAGAGCTCAGAGCTAAGATTTTTCATCTGTTTTGCTCTGGCGCTGACCCAGGAGGCGTCATGGGATCTATCAGCCCAGTCACCATCTCCCTTTTTACCCACCTGTCAGAGCTCCAACACTAGCAGGACAGAAGCCAGCCCTGTGGGGATTGCCCTTGGAAAATTTGGGTTGCAGGACCCATGAACCAACTCCTTCCCTCCCCTGGGAGAAGCTGGAAGCTAGGGAGTCTCTTCTGATCATATGGCACTGTGCTGAGGGTAGGGACTCTTGCAAGAGGGTTTTCCAATTTCCCTACAGACTTCAGAGAGTCTGGTTGTATATCCATCAGAGTATGAAGCCTTAAAATTTGTTTCTTGATTTCTCACAAGGGCAATCAGTTCATGAATTGTTGCTGAGTCAGTGTGCCTGTTGCGGGTAGGAGAGGCCAAAGCTTCCTGTCCCAACATTCTGCCGATGTCAGCTTCTGCAAAGTCCTTCCTCCCTAACTCCCTGAGGAGGGTTTGGCTTTGAGACGGTATGATTTATTGATACCGTTGATCTTAAGGAAAGATCAACAAGTTCTGAAAGTTGTCTTCCTTCTGTTGTCAGTTGCCTCTTGATTAGAGGTCTTAAAGTCTATCTGCTGGGGACTTGCCTGGTGGTTAACACTGAGCTTCCAGTGTCGGGGGCTTGGGTTCAATCCCTGTTTGGAGAACTAAATTCCCACATGCCATGTGGCACAGCCAAAAAAGAAAAAAAAAAGACTGCCTATAATCTTTTCTTCCCCTCAGTTTACACGAATCATAATCATAAATATTTATACTAGCTCTTATATGTGAAAAATCCCTACTGAGGGTGAGAGGAAAGGAATAATAGAAGTTGTTGCTGCCTTACTCAAGCTTAACAATACAAAGCCAAAAGCACACACAGTATACATATAAAGGATTTAGCATGGAAAAGAATGCATCTTTGACAATCCAGAAGGAGAAGGATTTGCTTCATTTTAATTTTTATTGAAATAAAGTTGATTTACAATGTTGTGTTAGTTTCAGATGTACAGTAAGGTGATTCAAATATACAGATAGATAAATATGTGTATTCTTTTTCTTCACATTCTCTTCCATTATAAGTTATTACAAGATATTGAGGATCGTTCCCTGTGCTATACAGTAGGTCCTTGTTAGAATAAAGTCTTCTCGACCTATTCAAAGGTTGCACGTTGTGACCAGTCTCAGTGGGCTAGGGAGATCCGTCTTCTCTTTACCTTTGTAATTGATTAGGAATGGAAGCCCTTTTTTAATGTATAACAGTTAGAACATACAGGCAGAGTTTGAAGGTAACATTCTTGTGTTCATATAGCTGACTTCTCTTGCCATGGCATGCTTTGCTGCTGTCTTCATGATGATCTGTTCCTCCTTAGGCACAAAATGTGGTGAGAATCTGTACATGTCAAGTGACCCTACTGCCTGGTCGGATGCAATCCAAAGCTGGTTTGACGAGCGCCACAATTTTGTCTATGGTGCGGGACCAAAGAGCGCCAGTGCAGTTGTTGGACATTACACTCAGGTGAGCTGAGCAAATGAAACACTTCGGCCACAAGTGCCCTAACAGAGGAGGCTTCTCCAGATGATGACCAACCCCAATGTTCGATTTAGAAGAAGAGCTTGAGTATAATAGAATCCTGGCATCTGGCTGGTATTTCATTTCAAACCATTTTTACCATGGTCTGCAAAATGCTTAGCAGGGAAGTACAGGCTGCACTTTTCCAGCATGAGAAATGGATAAGGTAGTGAATGTACGTGAAATTTAATATTTGTAACGTTTGTGACTTTCAGTAGTTTAAATATCCATAAGGCATTTGCTGTTATTTGCATTTTAACATTTACCCCTCTTCTTTAATGTACTCTCTTGTATTCCCTTATGGATTTGTAGCTTGTCTGGTATTCATCTTTCCGTGTTGGATGTGGAATTGCCTACTGTCCCAATCAGGAGAGTCTAAAATACTACTATGTTTGTCAATACTGTCCTGCGTAAGTATACACTTTAAACTTTATACCAGTAATTCATTGGCAATTTAATATTTTAAAATACTCTTATATTTAACCAATCAAAATTAAAAGCCTATTTCAATAAAGGGAAGGAATAAATTTTGGGAAAGCCTTTTTAAAATGAGATACATTCAACTTACCAGAGAAGAGATCAAGTTCTCAGTTCCTGAAACACTTTCCTCAGTTATGAGTTGTCTTTTCTCTCAATTCCCTTTCCCTGGAGCTCAAGGTTATTCCCTGAGCACGTGATATATAATTCTTTAATTTGGTGCCATTAATTCTTGCTAATTTCACATCTTAGGAAGGTGGAAGCTTGTAGGCTAAGGAAGAGGTAGTAGTGGAGTAGAAAATAAAGGGTAGTAAATTGTGATTTCAGCCCTTTCTGCTAAAATGTTCCAACTCCTACCTATCTTAAAAACCATGCATGTTATTATCATTAGAAATGATTCATTCTTTGGGGTCTCAAAGGTTTTTCAAAAGATCTTTAATACATTTCAGAGTCCCAAAAAAGGTAACAGCTTAAGCTTTTGTTTCTCAGAAGTTTTCACAAAAAACTCCATAATGAACAATCTTTAATGTCTTTATTTATAGCAGGAAATATGCTTTTCAGTAAGCAAATGTTTGAAGTTATCCAGAACAAAGCCTACAAATACGTTGAAGACCTAACCTTAAGATATCTGTTAGTCTTGCTTTCTTTTAAAACTTGGAATTCTTTACTACTATAGGCAGGGGGTCCCCAAAACCAAGCCTCCTACAGGATTTACTTGATACTATAGGTGTCTCAGTTGGTAAAGAATCTGCCTGCAATGCAGGAGACCACCTGCAATGCAGGATAGCTGGGTTCAATCCCTGGGTCAAGAAGATGCCCTGGAGAAGGAATGGCAACCCACTCCAGTATTATTGCCTGGAAAATCCCATGGACAGAGGAGTTGGGGGGGAGGGGGTGCTACAGTCCATGTCGGGGGGGGGGGTGGTGTCACAAGAGTCAGACACAACTTAGTGACTAAATCACCATAGGTGACCAGGCACATGAACTTCCTGTTTGAGGCATATGGCCTCCAAAGTCATTTTCCAGCAAACACCTATCAGAGTTTAGTATTAATGGAAAGAATTGGTAGGTCATTTGGAGAAGGACAGTTGAGGCCTAAGAAGATGCTGAACTGACCCCCTCCCCTGGAGACAATGAATCTGCACCTACATACAGAGCAGGTCCTCCTGAAGAAGACGTGCGGGCTGATTGAACAGCTAGTGTACATACAAGGACCACATAAAAATGGGCAGAAAAATGGAGAATATATCCAAACTCACTGCCTGGCTGTGAGAGACGAAGCATTTAGAGCCAGGCATCTGAAGTGAGAGTTGGCGTGAATAACGAGGAAAAGCAGGTGTGAGAGAACCTCTGGAACACTTTTGTATCTGTGTCATAATTTCCCCAAGGGCCACCACCACGCATCCTACAGTGTTCTGTATGGGGAGACTGAGATGCAGACACATTGCCTTGGGCTCCTGACTCCCTCGACACTGCTGAGATTTGGATTCCCGTGTATTTTTCAGTGAATTACATAAACAGTCAACAGGATAATGATCATCAGTGAAATACAAGTTAGTCACTGTAATTGATTATACCCAGGACATTGGTATTTATCAAAACTTTTAAAACGAATGTTCTTTTTTTAGTAGATATAAAAATGTCTCACATACCACCTCTGGAAACTCACAAGCCTTCCCTAGCTTTTCAGGCCCACAGACATACACATCATAAACCACATAAGTACCAGAACATCATCTAGAAACTAAATATATGTATATTTAATGTGATATATATATGGGAGCTTTGTTGTCCTTAGTTCATAGTGGAGAAATTATGGTATTTATCCTCTTTTAATATAAAGTTATACTGTAACATTGAGTATTCTTTTTCATACTGCAACTCCCTACCACCAGGACCTTCCCTGTCTCGGTAAGGGATGTATTTACTCCTAGTCCGCTCATTGAGGTGAGCGGCCTTACCAGTTTGACTGAGACTTCCCTGGTGGCTCAGAAGGTAAAGAATCTGCCTGCAATGCAGGAGACCTGGGTTCAGTCCCTGGGTTGAAAAGACTCCCTGGGGAAGGGAAAGGCTAACCACTCTAGTATTCTTGCCTGGGAAATCTCACGGGCAGAGGAGCCTGGCAAGCTACTGTCCACGGAGTCACAAAGAGTCAGACGCAACTTAGCTACTAAACAACAACTGGGAGATGAAGAGTGTGTTGCCACAAAAATTTACTCTGAAAGCTTTAAGCTAATTATGCCAACTTAGTTGCTCAGCCTGAAGAATTCGTGTCAAGGAGATGGGTCAGTGTGTGTGAAGTGTCTCCTTAACTTGGATGTTATCTAAATTATCTACATGTTGGGAATTGTAATTTTTCAGTTTTGTTAACATAACTAAAAACATTTAATGACTTAACATACATTAAGTGATTGATGTTGCTCTTGACAACCAAACAGCAAAGTGACAAATATTTAACATTGTGTGTTTTAAATTGCAGTGGTAATAACGTGAGTAAAAAGAACACCCCTTACCAACAAGGAACACCTTGTAGCAGTTGCCCTGGTAACTGTGACAATGGATTATGCAGTAAGTTTGAAACAATTGCCTTGCATTATGGTCAGGAATTTATATTTAGGGACTTCTCTGGTGGTCTAGTGGTTAAGACTCCATGCTTCAATGCAGGAGACATGGGTTTGATCCCTGGTTAAGAAACTCAGATCCCACACACCACACAGAGTGGTTCAAAAAAAATTTTAATTAAAAAAAAAAGAATTGGTATTTAATTTTCTTTTTATGGATTAAGAAATCTCCTAACAAATTTAAATAATGTCTTTATGCAAAAGACAAAATGATTACTCAACAGAGTGTAAGTAAATATTTTACACACTTCAATAACCTTCATATTCTTTGCAATGAAAAGAGTACAGACATACCTCACTACAAGAAAGATAACTCTACAGAAAGTCACACACATCTGGGGGTTCCTCAGTGCACATAAAAACTATTTTACACTATCCTGTAGTCTATTAAGTGTGAAATAGTATTATGTCTAAAACCAATGTACTTAAGTTAACATAAATAGTACTTTCACAAAAATGACTCTAATAGATTAGCTTGATGCAGGGTAACCACAAACCTTCAATTTAAAAAAAAAAACCACAATATCTGCAAAGCACAATAAAGTGAAATGCAATAAAATGAGGTATGCCTATATTTCCACATGTAAGATGAAATGAAACATCTAGCATTCATTTGTTTTTGTGACCATGGAGAGCTCATTAATAGCTATACATCCATGCTTCTGATAGCTTATTTTATCAACATTGATACCATTTCACCAAAGATTGTATTTTGAAAGAGCAAAATGTATAAATTTAAGGATGTGAGACCACATTATGGTTCAATCTACACAAACAAACTAAGTATTTCTCTTTGTGCAAATGAGTCCCCTCATGATGATTTAGCTTTTTTTTTTTCTATAGTATAATTGGAAGCATGGTGATTAACATAATAAATGATCACAGTCCTATAATTTAATCATGATTGTGTGCACATTTTTAATGACAAAATCCAACCTGTACTTGATATTGATTCATAGAGTCCACGAACATATTGCTGAAAGGGAAGGAATAAAATAAATGTTATAAATGTCATTTCTAAAGTTGTCATGATCTGAAACAAAAATAGCTGTTGGCTTTTTATAGTTGGGATACTTTTATTAAAATTATTACAAATGGTAGAGTTGACATATTCTCTGAGATTTTTACCTTCAAATGAATTCATCTATAGTCCATATTCTTTCTTACTGAATTGTAGAACTAGAATTCAGAATATTGATGATGTCAGACCTATAAATCAACTAGAGGAAAAATATCAACTTAAAAAATGTGGAATATCTCTACCTCTACTGAATGCTCTATTTGCTAAGGAGCTTGGAATTTATCCTATTAGCAATAAGCACACAATTCAAAGGTTTTCAACAAAAGAGTGACAAAGTCAGAATGATGTTTTATTAAAGAGCTTTCTGGCAATGGTGTGTAGAAACTATTGGATGAAATTCAGTTAGAAAACTGTTGAAAAACATGAATTAAAAAGAAACCGAGGGACTTTACTGGTAGCCCAGTGGCTAAGACTCCAACCTCCCGATGCAGGGGGCCTGGGTTCGATCCCTGGTCAGGGAACTAGATCCCACATACCACAACTAAGACTCAGTGAAGCCAAATAAAGAAACTGAATGTCTTGGCTGCATTTACTGCAAAGTGAATGAGGAACAATGGACAGGGCTGAGAGATAGATGTCCAATAGCCAGTGTTCGTTACCAGACTAGCTTACCAATAGCTGCTGGTCTCAAGCGGTCTTTGAACACCGTGGCTAGTAAGATTAAGGAACCAAAATTTTAATTTCGCCCAATTTTGAATAATTTAAATTTAAATAGCTCTGTGTGGCTGGTATGTCCCACGTTAGAGTCTGCAGGTATTTTCATTTCACACTCTTTGCTAAGGGAGCAAAGTAGGTCAATTCACTTTAGAAACACATCACCAAGTTCAAAATAAAAAGTGGTGAGTTGATCAGTGCACTCAGCTAAGTAAGGCACCTTGTATGTCCGTGAAGAAGTGAAAGGCCCTTCATGGTGTAAATGACCCTGACTTGCTTATCCAGTCTTACTGCCTCATGTGTACACTTTGAATGTGTGGATTGCTTTGTTGCTACTGAGGAAAACGATAATGATGTTAACTCTTCTGTTTTGTTACAGCCAATACTTGCGAGTATGAAGATCTCCTCAGTAACTGTGATTCCTTGAAGAAGACAGCTGGCTGTGAACACGAGTTGCTCAAGGAAAAGTGCAAGGCTACTTGCCTATGTGAAGGCAAAATTTACTGAAATGCCCGATTTGCATCGTGTAGGACCACATGGAGAAAAGTTGCATCATTCAGTTAAGACATACGAGGAGGGAGACTGTAGACATGTTAGATATACATTTGATTCCCAGCAGTAATGAACCTTTTTCTCCTGGATATTTACAAGAGACCTCTTTCATACAGAAATTCACAAAAGTAGCAATAGTCTGCCATGATAACTTTGGACTGATACAGACTTGTCACATTACCTTTAGTTAACTGAATCAAGTTGAAGATTTTGAAAGCGGTACAACCACAGGACTTAGTCAGGATTAAAATAGTTACATGTTTCCTGAAACAACATGCCAAAAAAAGAAGACTGTCTTTGCCACTCCTTAGAATGAATTCAAACATTGACATCTACCTTTGTTTTCCAACCTCTTGTTTAAACAAAAGCAAACAACTTTAAGAATAAAGAACTTATCTAAGCAAACATATGGATGTGATTTAAATAAATAAAATATAAAATCATATTTTATAATACTTATACATAGCCCTAGTTAGACTCAGCCCAGATAAACGATAAGACAAAGCAAAATTTCTGAAAACAGCTGCCTATAAAGTTAAATTTTAACAATAATAATAACAAAATGAATCAGTTATATTCTCATTTGCTTTTTGTTTTTTGACTTTTTGATCTCCTCCTAACTGGCTTGGTAGGAATTCCCTGGTGGCTCAGATGGTAAAGTGTCTGCTTACAATGCAGGAGATCTGGGTTCAATCCCTGGGTCAGGAAGATCCTCTGAAGAAGGAAATGGCAACCCACTCCAGTACTCTTGCCTGGAAAATCCCATGGACGGAGGAGCGTGGTAGGCTACAGTTCATGGGGCTGCAAAGAGTCAGACATGACTGAGCAACTTCACTTTCCCTTTCACTTAACTGGTTTGGTATCCATTTTTTGTGTTAAAAAAAAAAGTCAATACAAAAATACACATGTATTCATTGGCCAAAACGTTTGTTCAGGTTTTTCTGCACTATGTAATGAACTTTTTGGCCAACCCAATACCTTCACATTTATGGAAAATGTACATGCAACATAGGAAAAGTATACCAGAAACTAAAGTGATTGGTTACATAGAGTAAGTGGGCCAGAAGGGGGTAGGTGGGATGGGGAGTGTCAAAAGGGTAGGAATAAATGTGTGGGGGGAGTGACTTCTTCATTTGTAGAGCTTTATTTTGTGATTTTTGTTAATATTTCACACGCACTTTAACATAAAATACAATCAATAGGATGAAGAGAAAATCCAAAATGTAATAGAAATAAGAATAAACTATATTGATTATAAAATAATCACCATAAAGTGTGAGAAAGAATCAATTCAACTAATGTTTAAATGCTATATTTGGGCTATATGTCTTCTGTATATTTATACAAACAAATGTTCAATTCTAGAGAATGAAATTTTGCTTTTAACATAGACCCATGGATTAGTAGTTCTGAAAATACTATGTACCCATGCTGTGCTGTTCTTAGTCGCTTAGTCATGTCCGACTCTTTGCAACCCCACGGACTGCAGCCCGCCAGGCTCCCCTGTCCATGGGGATTCTCCAGACAAGAATACTGGAGTGGATTGCCACGCCCTCCTCCAGGGGATCTTCCCAACCCAGGGATCGAACCCAGGTCTCCCACGTTGCAGGCAGATTCTTTACTATCTGAGCCCCCAGAGAAGCCCAAGAATACAGGAGTGGGTAGCCTATGCCTTCTCCAAGGGAACTTCCCAACCCAGGAATCAAACCAGAGCCTCCTGCATTGCAAGTGGACTCTTTACCAGCTGAGCTACCAGGGAAGCCCACTATGTACCTTACAAACACAAATAATTACAAAGAATGGGAGCCAGGATTCTCAGTTATGGAGAAAGGATTTACACATATAGAAATTAAGGATCAAATCCTGTGTTGTACTGGAATTGAGGTATTGATGTGAATTTGTAGTTTTTCACATAGAGACAGAAATGCTAGAAAAATATCAATGATAGAAGCAGAAGGAATCCCTCCCCTTCTGAAATCTGAATGGCTGATTTCTGAAACTGGAAAAGAACATAATGGTCCCCAGAGCCACTAGGGATACAAACCATACTTTGGTATGTTAATTTTGGATGATCACTTCAGTTCAGTCGCTCAGTCGTGTCCGACTCTCTGTGACCCCATGGACTGCAGCACGCCAGGCCTCCCTGTCCACCACCAACTCCCGTAGTTTACTCAAACTCATATCCATTGAGTCGGTGATGCCATCCAACCATCTCATCCTCTGTTGTCCACTTCTCCTCCTGCATTCAAGCTTTCCCAGCATCAGGATCTTTTCAAATAAGTCAGCTCTTCGCATCAGGTGGCCAAAGTATTGGAGTTTCAGCTTCAACATCAGTCCTTCCAATGAACACCCAGGACTAGTTTTCTTTAGGATGGACTAGTTGGATCTCCTTGCAGTCCAAGGGACTCTCAAGAGTCTTCTCCAACACCACAGTTCAGAAGCATCAATTCTTCTGCGCTCAGCTTTCTTTATAGTCCAACTCTCACATCCATACATGACTACTGGAAAAACCATTGCCTTGACTAGACGGACCTTTGTTGGCAAAGTAATGTCTCTGCTTTTTAATATGCTATCTAGGTTGGTCATAACTTTCCTTCCAAGGAGTGTCTTTTAATTTCATGGCTGCAATCACCATCTGCAGTGATTTTGGAGTCCCCCAAAATAAAGTCAGCCACTGTTTCCACTGTTTCCCCATCTATTTGCCATGAAGTGATGAGACCAGATGCCATGATTTTAGTTTTCTGAATGTTAAGCTTTAAGCCAACTTCTTCACTCTCCTCTTTTACTTTCATCAAGAGGCTTTTTAGTTCCTCTTCACTTTTTGCCATAAGGGTGGTGTCATCTGCATATCTGAGGTTATTGATATTTCTCCCAGCAATCTTGAGTCCAGCTTCTGCCTCTTCCAGCCCAGCATTTCTCATGATGTACTCTGCATATAAGTTAAATAAGCAGGGTGACAATATACAGCCTTGACGTACTCCTTTTCCTATTTGGAACCAGTCTGTTGTTCCATGTCCAGTTCTAACTGTTACTTCCTGACCTGAATACAGATTTCTCAGGAGGCAGGTCAGGTGGTCTGGTATTTCCATTTCTTGAAGAATTTTCCACAGTTTATTGTGATCCACACAATCGAAAGCTTTGGTGTGGTCAATAAAGCAGAAATAGATGTTTTTCTGGAACTCTCTTGCTTTTTCCATGATCCAGCTGATATTGGCAATTTGATCTCTGGTTCCTCTGCCTTTTCAAAAACCAGCTTGAACATCTGGAATTTCATGGTTAATGCAGTGCTGAAGCCTGGCTTGGAGAATTTTGAGCATTACTTTACTAGTGTGTGAGATGAGTGCAATTGTGTGGTAGTTTGAGTGTTCGTTGGCATTGCCTTTCTTAGGGACTGGAATGAAAATTGACCTTTTCCAGTCCTGTGGCTACTGCTGAATTTTCCAAATTTGCTGGCATATTGACTGCAGCATTTTCACATCATCATCTTTTAGGACTTGAAATAGCTCAATTGGGATTCCATCACCTCCACTAGCTTTGTTCGTAGTGATGCTTCCTAAGGCCCACTTGAGTTCACATTCCACGATGTCTGGCTCTAGGTGAGTGATCACACTATCGTGATTATCTGGGTGGTGGAGATATTTTTTGTTCTTCTATGTATTCTGTACACAGTTCTTCTATGTATTCTTGCCACCTTTTCTTAATATCTTCTGCTTCTGTTAGGACCATACCATTTCTGTCCTTTATTGGATGATAATTATTCATAAAATGTAACAGCAAAGGGAGAGATGCAATCTTAATCACTTTTCAGTGAAACACATAGTACCTTTGAGTTTTAAAAGACCCAGAAAAAATGGTTTGAGATTTACCCCATGAAGTATTCATCCTTCTCTCTGGAACACAAAGCTGGTGGTAACTTACGAGCGGCCATCAGAAGGCTCAGTGGAGTCCAGAAAACAAACTCATCTTTGAGATCTGAAGCTACTGGAAACATGCTCTGTGAGAGTCCCCAGACACTGGAATCCTTAGAGTCACAGATCTGTGAAAGAAGCTGGTGCAGAAGCATAGAGAAAGAGCAGGCGCTATGAAGGAGGTGCTAGCATCTGTTAGCACAGGTAAGAAAATCCCTGGGGTACCCAGGGTCTTTTGGGTTAAAAGAAGGATTTCTGGCTCTTTCAACAGCAGGAAGAAGGGAACACTCTCTGTCCCCAACACACACATATACATGTACATACACACATGAAAACAATAGAAGTTGTTTTAAAACCAAAACCACTAGTATTGGGAAATACAATTACAAAATGTACTTTGATCTGTATATAGAATATTTAAATGTCACCAGATACTGATTTCTGTTTTCAAATTGAGATGATTTTTTTCTTTTTTAAGTGAAATAATGCATGGAAGATACTTAGCAATAAGAGAGACTAATAGTGCTCAAGAAATTCTAATTTACTTCTCTGTGTCTCCTTCATGCTACTGAAGTTATTAATGAGTCTACATTCCAGGTGATATGCTGATTGGCTTATAGTCATTTTTGCACTTTATCCTCCTAATAGTACTTTGTCTCGGTTCTGTAGGTAAGTGAACAAGGACAGGAGAATTTTTTGGTCTGGGTATAAACAACCATGCAACATCAAAGCACAGACTCAACCCTCGGGCTTTTATGCAATATGCAATGCTGTTTCCTGATCTAGACTAACACTAATCAACAGTTTAGATTTTAAAATGCACTCAGGCTGAGGATTTAATATGAAATAAAACAAATGTTTATACAATGTTCCTAAATTTCTTTGTCCTGTACTCTTAGAGATGTGTTTACCTTTGACAATCAGACATTTAAGATTTGTAGTTCAATTGTAATCAGACATAGAATACCTTCATAGAATTGTATAAAATTACATCACGACTCAGTCCTATTGACTTCCATTTTATTATTTTAAAAACCGGTTCTATAA